ATTGAAATTATGCATTTTTGTGCGTCGTTGCATCAGAAAGATGCAACTGCACCGGCTTAATTACACATAATATCATCACAAAAATTGAGCAAAAAATTAATTTTGCTTTCAAACTAAATTTGTAATTACAAATTACTATAATACATACTTTCGAGCTAGTTCGGATAATTTGAATTAATTAGCAAAGAATCATTACCGTTGTTCGATCTTTCTCCTCGTTTTCGAGGAAATCGTTGCATAAAACGATTTCGTTAAAGATAGGAACACTGTTGGGCGGGCACATCTGCGTTTAGACCGGGAATCTTCGAAACGAATTTCTATAATTCGACGTCATCTGCACTCCCGTGCCTATATAGAGACGAATTATTGCGGAAGCAGGTGTCCCCGCCTCGTTCTGAATACGCGGAAATTAATACGTTCGCCGCACGCAAACAAAACTGATTGCATTGCAAGTAACGATTCACTCGAATAACGTAATTAAGCCGGTCGACACCGGGAGGAGGGGAAAAGAAACAAGCAGGATAAAAGGTACCACAGAGAAGAGGAAGAGCTTGAAAGAAAGAAATGATTAGAGCAGTAGGACGATATTACCACCCTTTTCTCTACCTTCAACAATGTGTCAAAGTTACGCTCGTTCGAATTATTTTTTAAATAAACGCAGTATTGTCGAATAGCTGGAAAATCATGAGAAAGTATCGTGTCGTTCGGGTCGTTATGGACGGTTAATTGGAAACCATTTCGTGATCATTGTTGGCAACGTTACAACGTGTCTGTGAGTCCGTGCGTGCCACAGACAATGAGCTTTTTAAATGAAATTTCAGTCACACGCGTGCGTACGCGTACGCGCGACCGAATCGCGAATTAATGCACGGAAAAAAATGCAATTACTGCGCGCGAGAATGTGTACATGTGTACGTGTTTTGCAGGGCATTATAAGCGAGCGTCGTTATAATTGCTCTTCATTACCGTTTCATCTTCTTTCGTTTTCTTTTTTTTTAACAGTACCGGTAGAAGCATTTTACAGCGAAAATTCATTAAACACAATCGCGATGTAAACGAAAGTTTATCGCCAAGATCGATAATTAATCAGCCTCGAAGTGTTTTTGTAAAAAACCCTGCTGGCTGTTATTGATTTTCTTATCTGGCACGAATTGCACTATGAAATGTTTGTTATCTTAGACTAAATGAAATTTTAATAGTATAATCATCTGCCAGGAAGTAGTGCGGTAAGTGATTCACTTAAGAGGAAGAGGAAGCCTAGTACTACACATCTTGTTTAAAATTTTAAAATCACCCTATACGTATAACTCTGCGAAATAAAAAATCACAGCACCTTTCACTCAAGCACCTTTCGACAAGGAGTTCTTTTTCCCCGTGGAAAGAAGGCTTCCTTTCTCATGCAAACTCTCCTCGATGGTTCGAGCGGAGGCACGAAAGGAGGAGCACTTTTCAGCTCTAAATCGAGACCTTGCGTACGTAGCCTAGTGTGCGATTTGCATCACACTGGATCAAAATGTGAGTACGTTTGCTCGTACACAAACACATCGGTGGTTAGGTTTGAAGTATGTTTATTGTCGTGAGGAAAGGTGCTACCTGCGGGAAGATTAACGCGGGACGGAAACCCGGAAAGGCAAGTGTAAGGAATTACAGCAGCTGATAGTCGGTGATATATTACACCGTCGTATTGGTACGAGTTAATCTGGATCAAAGAAAATTAATTTCATCGAAATGCATTGCATTCGTGTCAATTTTTTATACAAATTAATTGAAGGTAATCCAAGACCTACTGGCATATGCAATTTAATATCATCCTCAGTAAAGGGTTAAGCTTTCAAATGTTTGATTAAAAGAAGAATAGATAATGGAGCATACATATAGAAATATCAGTGATAAATGGAAAAACGAAAGTAAAGTTAATCCCTAACGAGGAACATAAATCCAGATCTGAAGGTAGATTAATGTATGAGCAGATTCCAGATCTAGATTCTCTATCGATATTTCGAAAAAGGATGAAGAGAACAAGTACAACTTCTACGGATCGTCGTTGAACCTTACAACAACATCCATTAATTCTACCTTAATGAGCATTTGAAAATCTTTAGAATTAAATGAAGCAGACTTCTAGAAACCGGTTTACACTTCTGTTTACCAGTCAAACATGACCATAATCGAGAGTGTCGCATGTTGATTCAGAAGTTAAAGCTGCTCCAAATAACTGCTATGAAATGACAGGTGAAAAGCATGACTTCATTATTCGGTTGGTACACGTGCAGGGCGTAATTATATGTAGCATCTCATTAAATCGAAGAAGGGTAGTAGCCGTGATGGGATAGCGAACGTATAATACAAAGTTGCGCGTATAATTTCTGTTTTAATAAGTTCTCGTTATTACGGCAATTAGGAAAATTAAATTTGTAAAGGGAAGACTCGATGACCTGCAGGTCAGCTTCTGTGAAATCGCTTGAATGTTTCGCGCGGTTTCATTCAATTCCACTTTCGAAATTATTATTAACCCCATAATGGGGTATCGTGGTGATAATGACAATTTAAATTTAATTTCTTTTTACTAAATTTTAGACCATTTATCAATTTACCAAAGTTTCTTATTAAAAATTTAGATTAAAAGAAATATATAAATGTATATAAAATTGCAAGAGTCATAGATTCTATGAAATCTGCGTTATGGCCATTAACCCCTTACCCTTAAACTAGTAATAATAAAGAGACGATGACAGGGTGTCTTTCTAGGTTTCCGTACCATCGAAAGATTATAAATTTTCAACGTTCAGAGATGTTTAGATAAGCTAGTAACGCGCAAATCGGAATAGCTCGGGGCGAAAGCGAGCGGAGAACACGTTACTCTGTAGCCGCATCCCCGTCGGACGGTTGGTGATTAATATAAATGCAGGAACTAACGAACCATAACGACGTTGATGGCTGACAGGCGGAAACAGAATTTTCTGCGTATATTCTAACGCTCCGCATTGTCTGTGACATTGCCGCAACTTCAGGTACGCGTGTGACCCACCTCCCTGAACATTGTCCCTAACGTGTACCGGGCTGTCACGCGCATAATGCCGCTAACTTTAGCATTAATGTCTCACGGGCCAGGTATATGTTCTCGCATAATTAGCGACGCTTTTTTTTTTATGCATCGTCGAGGGTCTCTTCAGGGGTTAAGCAATAACTTTTTTCCTCCGGCCGATGTTTCGACTGGCCGACTTGTGCCTACGAAAGGAGCACCCGGAAGCTTCTCTCGCGCAATACCCTTCCTTTAATTTGCATGTCGAGAGAGGATCCAACGTATGCACGGTGTCGAACTTCTTTCGCTCCTGAGACTTTCTCAGGCTCTTTTTGCGTTTTCCTATGGACGGGTCGATGGAAAAAATTAACCATGCACAACGGTGATTTCAACCCTTTGGGTACGACAGAGTCACGGTAGAAAGCGTTTTTAATCATTTCTTTTTTATTAACATGACGATTTGAAGTTTTGAAACGAACAAAAACACGTGCTTCTAAGGATGCCATTTATTGTGAACTTTCAGATTTTTTTAACGATTTAATTTTATTTTAAGAATATAATCCCGAGGTAACGGTACAAGGAAAATGAAATGGCAATACTCGTTTCACGATTTGCAAATTCGCTGAATCATTTTGATTTGTGGAACGAGAAAGGCGAAGTGTACGATCGTAAAATGAATGAAAATAGCATATTGTAGTTCCATAACGGTGCAAGAATTATCAGTACGTTCTCTCGTTTGTTCACCATATTAATCATCGACATGTGGTGGACCGTTAACGTTCGGTTCATGAGTCGCGATGAAATCGCACTTTCGTTTTATGTTCAATTGAAGTTGTACTTTTAAACAGTAGTAAAGAACATATTTGCTACCTGTATAGCTTTGAATTGAGAAGTTGAACTTCACTAGAAAGAAATTTATTTTATTATTAGGCAGTTCTAAAAATGTATTATTTATTTAAAATTTATCAACTTTTATCAAAGATGCTTAGAGATTTAAAATTGATCAAGTCTAATGTATATTACGAGACAATTTACATATTAGACAGTATAATACAATCTACCCCATGTCAGAACAGATACTAGTCGATAATTACGACAAGAAGAAGCGCGTGTTTACGTTTCGTGAGCTGAGTTTTAAGATAGTCGATTACTATCGTTACACCATAATATCGCCTCGTCATTATACCTATTACCGCGATCGATGTCTGGTAATCGATCATGGATCATTAGATCGCGCCCCGCTGATCCCGACCAAGCCTACAAATTCGTTCTCAAGTGCATCTTATGTATGGAAAAGGAATGTGCAACAGGCGTGTCACCTTTGATTCGACAAAACGAAATCGAAAAATAGGTATTTTTGTAGAAGCGTAATTTTTTCATAAACACAACTAATTTTAATTATCGATAACAAGACAAATCCCTTAATTTTTCGTATCCCCTCTCCTTTCACTTTGCGTAAAACCGCTCCTCGACAATGTGACTCGCGATGACAATCGTCCCTTTGAGCAAACAGAGCCGTTCTTATAGTTCGCCAATGAAAAATATACGATTACGCGTGTAGAGGTCGAGTGGGGATCAATAGATCACCGATCGAGAGCACCGGGACAAGGTGAATAGGATTTTCGCGTCGTTTCGATGTTAGAAAGGGGGCCCAGGTCGCAGGTTCTACTGGCGTGTACGAACACAGGGGGCTCGTTAAACCCAAAGGGCGGGTTCCTTGCAACCCCTTCTCAGGTTGGCCAGGTGGAAGGCTGACTCGAAGATCGACCACTCGATCAGTTTTCGCTCGCAGTGGTGCGAATCTCCTTGTGTTTTCGGTCTCCGTGAATCTACGAGCCTTCTTCACGTTTTCTATTCGTTTGATTCCTGTGATTTGTGTTGATGTGATTCTTTTTTTTTTAACTCATTAGAAATCAAATTTATTGCAGATTTAAAAATATCAATAGACAGTTAATTTTTAAATTGGAGTGAAATGAATATTTGATCTTCAATGTGTTAATGTGATTGTGAGTTTGCTTTTATTATACCGAACGAGATTCTGAAGTTTCTTTGGAGATTGAAATGAATCTACAGACAAAGGATTTGCTTTCTGTGAGTTATGAATTTTATTGATCTGAAATTATTTCAAATTACTTCTTTCCTGAGTTATTGTTATTTGTTGGGTTGAAGATTATTGGAACAGATGCTTTTATTATTCTTCACACTTTTTCTCTCTTTTGTAGAATCAATACGTAATTCAAAATATGTGTTTTAATCATCGACATTTTCTTTTATTCCTGTATGTGTCATTGTAAATAAGAGTCTCGGAGCAGTTTTATCCCAGTGGAAAGAAGTCCTGTTCCCATTCAATCGTTCCACGGAGGAGCAACTGCTGTTCTGGTCGTCGAGAGGTGTTCGAGGTATCGCCGACACCGGTAGTTACCGTTCGATCGCTTATCGATCGGCGTAAATAGACGTGGATTAGCCTTAACGAGCTCCTAAGCAAATAAACCGAGTCAGCCTCACCGGAAAAGCCTTACTCGGTGAGGATTGAGTTACTAACTGAACGCCAGGATCAAGTTGGTCGAGCATGGCGATTCGTGGTCGTTGTATAAGAACACCTCTCTCTCTTGGTTCGAACGCGGAAGAGGCGTTCTGTGAATCGTAATTCAATGGACGGCAGTCGGATTCTTGAAAATGAAGAGAAAATATAAACTTGGCGAGGCTGTAATTGAACAGAAACTAGTTTAACTTGCGATAGACAGTTGAAGTTCGGTAAGAAGTTACAGAATTCATTTCGTAATTCAGTATTCGTCAGAAATTTTACGAATTAAAAATTATCGCAAAACCAAAAAAGTAGCATTAAGAGAGACGTTCAAAGTCCAGGTTTTCTTTAACAAAATGATGAAAGAATATCACTGTGCTTCCATAATGTTTTCATCCAAAGAGAGGAGAACATCTTTGATGTTCTCGTTCAGAGAGGCACGAGACACGACTCGTAGTAACTTCGATATTTAATTAGAGAGTTGTCCGTGCTGTCGACACAAATAGTCTCGAAGCTTTTTTTTACCGGGATGCTTACAACAAAGTTTGCGTGGGTGACGCGCGCGGAATGCACACGCGCGTGCATTCGCGCGCAATTTATCACGCGAGATCGAGAGATGGCCCGAGGCGGCCTTGTCGGAGATAACGAGGAACTCTCTGTTTCATGGAAATCTTAGATATCTTTATGGTGCACCGTTCGCTCCGCGTACATTTCGTTGCCTCTCATAAGCAGAGAAATATCATTTCGCTGGCGTGGTTTCGTTCGCAGGCAACCGTGGTTCCTCGAGTTCCACGCTCCGATGAGTCAGTTTTCCCGCGAGATGTTTTTGCGGTGAAATTTTGCCACGGCACCGCTGTACTTGTTTCTGACCGTGAACGTGGTACGTTTCGAATTTCCTTTCAGCGGTTCTCAAGATTTTTTCTATTTTCATTGGTCGGTCGAACGTTTCTTAACCCTTTAATTCATGAATCATGAAATCGGACCTGATGATGGCTGTTTTTTTGAATTGTTAATAATAGAGGAAAAGATTGAGTAACATTAGAGTGTGTATATTTTTATGAATTAATATTTTTTCATAAGTGCAATGATGCACCGAGAAAATGCAATTGCACTTTTATTTTTAGCGAAACTGTACCGTCATTTATTTTTCTATTTTCTAATATTATATTTTGAATTACCTTAACAGGTAATTAACATAATTAAGTGAGGAAAGTTGCGCTTTATATCCAGAAGGAATTAAATGATCTGCCCATGCTAATGTCGAAACAGGCTGTCGCCTACGTGTTACACCACGTAACAGTAACTCTCCTGCTACTTGGTTTATTACGTGGGCGACAGCCATTTGGAAGGCTTAGGACGAAAGAATTCAATGGCCTGGATAGCTAAGTGGTTAACGCATCTCGATTCAAATCTTGATTTAATAGTCTGCTTGCTTGATATCAAGCTCATAGGTATTTCGTAGTCTTTCTTCCTTCTTTCCATTCAATATTTATTGAATTAATAGCACCTGGTTTGATTTATATCTTTCAATTATCCTAAAGGGTTATGCCACCTTCGAGGTCTCAGAATAATATATAACTTTGAGAATGATTTTCTAGAAAAATATAAAAGATACGATAGGAATGTTCATAGGCATTTGTTAAGTAGACTTTTTTCTATAATTTAAAATTTAAATATGTCAGAAAAAGGCCAAAATGGTGACGTAGGAGCATGAATGGCAGCATTAAACACAAGAGAACGCGAAAGCCCTAGTATAATCCTTCTAACAAATGCGACGTGTCGCTAATGGCACACGTCGAGCGGGGAACAATTTTACTTTAATCTTATAAAACGAATACAAAAGGAATCCAAGCGAACGTTCAAGGCTCAAAGTACCAGCAACAAAGGGAGAAACGGTAAAATAGAGAAGTACTTTGCACAACAAGCACCGGATATCTTTAGAAACATGCCGTGCTCTAGGCGCGAGGTGCATCAAGCACCAGGGTACTCGTTAGGCATTGTGATACCTTCTTTCGCGTGTTTGCCATCGTGTTCGGAGAAACGATGAAGTACAAGAATTGTTCATTCCCACGCGGTGCCAAAAAGGGCCGTTTCTTATCTGGTGACTTAAAAGTTTCTAATTTCAAAAATTTTCAAGATCTAAGCTTTTTTAATTTGCAAGCTTTCTAAGTTCTAAGCTTTTCTAATTTCTAAGTTCCCTACTTTTTAATTTTTCTAAATTCCAAGTTTCTTAAGTTTTAAAATTTAAACAACATCTATCTCTGCTATGTTGTTCAAGTTTCCTATCATTAGAAGATTCATCGTTAGATCATAGCTTTTCCCATTGACTCCAGGCATAATAAGTTAACTGGCCCCTGTGGAGGTTGGCAATGGCATGCAGAGGGTGCTCTTTTGGTACACGAACTCGCGGGTAACAGGTTAAATGGCCGCTGCTTTCTGCAGTGCGGTACTGGAGGAAAGATTACCGAGCATGCAGACTTTGTAACAAGAACTGCCCTTGTATGCGCCACACGAGTCGTCGCCTTCGTCGTCCTCTTGGTCGTCGCCACGTTGAACGTCTCAATCGTTCGTTCACGAGGACCACGCGGAGGAATGTCTAATGATTTGATTCTAGCTACGAGCTCGAAGCACGTCCGACGATAGCGACGACGTTTCTTTCGACTCGTTTATCGAACGTCTTCGGTAATGGTGCTCGCAGTTCGATCGGAATGACGCTCTTCTCTTTCGAGAACAATGGCTCGCATTCTTAGGATTCTGAGATGAGTCTTCGGTTCGTTGTATGTACGATTCTGAGTGTTTCGTTGTTGCTGTTTTTTTGTTATTTTCAAAACGATATTGCGATTCTGTTACCGTCTGAAGATGTACAGGGTGCGGTTCGACGATTATGAATAGAGAGATTCATGGCAATAGGGGTTCCATAGGGGGACGATGGACGCAGTTGTCCCAATATTTGTTAAATGTTAGAGAAATGAATTTCTATACAAGTTTCGATAGAAATAAGAAATGAAATATTTTCGAAAAATGAAAACGAACCACAGGTCACAGAGATGTTCACGTTCCGTGCGTTCGGTTCCAGCTTATTGTTTCCCGCTATGAAGACAATAATTACGCGCGTTCGTATCTGTTTCCCCTTGGTCGGCATGCCTGTTGATTTATACATGTCTATAATTTCTTCCAGTTGAACGAGAAACGAAAATTACCGAGATATTATAGAGTTCCCGTATAATCACGGGAAACGATAATTTACATCGCATTCGTCATACGCAGTGCAGCGTTTCGGTCGTAATTGCATTATCAGTCCTTCTTTCTCTTATCCCTTCTTCGTAAAATTGCTACGTCCTTCTACCCCGTGGAAATTTCGGATCGAAATGACTGTAACATTTTTCTGACGACCCTATTCCATCGTAACGAGAAGAAAAAAAAAATGAAGGAACGTACAAGATGTGTGCTCGTAGTAATTTACTTTCTTTTGTATGGTATGGAAATTGAGAATTTCCTGTGTAATCACGTGCTACATTAAATCATTCCAGTTCTACTTGTTGCTCTTGTTATGCTAACAATCGTGGTCATTTCAATCGTCCATTCCCATGTCACATTTTAGAGAGACGTTAAATTTCAAGTAACAAAATGGCTATGTTATTTCTGCTTTTCTTTTGGCAACTCTTTTCTCTACAATACTATTTCTCCTAAAGAAACCTATCATTCTCGATGCTGTACCTATTTATATGTATACCTTGAACGTGATGGTGTGTGCCCATTTATGTCTCTGTATATGTGTAAATCCGGTGCTCCGATTGCATTGCACGCGACACAACCGTGATTCACGTAACCCACTGCTTTGTAACCTGTTTGGTACAGGTCCCGCATCTTCGTGCTCATTGTGCCCCGGTAAACTTATCGTTGTGCTGCATAACTGCCACACACGAAGAAGTTACCGAGAACATTTTTATTTCTTCATCCGGCCCGTACGAGCCCCGTATAGATTGCTTCGTCGAATAATTCCGCTTCTTCTGTGCGTTTCTTTCATCGTTGCATTATATCATACGACATTCTCAAACGTTCATTGATGATTCTTTTTTGTACCGTATGCTAAGTTGATCGTTTGCTTTACTTTTTACAACAAACTCTGGTAGAAAAAAAAGTCTTTATAAGTTAGAGGGCTGTTTATGATGATGATGATGTGAAAAAAGATAGCTTTTTATATATTATGTTAAATGGTTTAGAATTGTCTTAACCCCTGACGTGTCCGACTGAAAGAGTTCTTCTCAGAACAGATTTCATAATCATTGCCGATTAAATGACAATGAATGCACCCTAAGTCATTGTTTGCGCGCATTGTTCCTCTCGAATTCTTTGAATATTCCACGTCCTGACGAAGCAACCCGTGCCTCGATCCAACGGTCGAAGCCACAGTGATTCAGTTGCTTCTTGCCTTGGTGATCGGTTGATTCTTACCAAACCGGTCCTGCAACGGGTCCTGGACCATCGGTGAGGATGTAAAGGAGCGGGTTACGGTAGGAAAAGAAAGAAGCGTCTTCGAACTTTGACGTCACGCTGGAGGTCAACA